AGATTCAGCTGGGTTCCAGGTGAGTCTCTCACAAAACCAAACTAGTTTGCAAATGAATGTATATTCGCTAGTTTCGTGCAATTTGGTTGCAATTAGAACATAAGGTTGACGGAAACTCGGAGACTGCGCCTACCTGATGAGCCCCAAAAAGGGCGGAACCGGTCGTGGGCTGCTGACGGATTTTCAGGAACCTTATGAGTAGTACATCACGAAACTAATGAGAGTGAAATGTGAGAAAATATTAAGGGGAATCTTGGCTGATTTCTATCCGTAGTAGTCCGATCGCCGTTAACTCGGTCGGTGGCATTAGATATAAAGAACCGCACCTATCGGCACCGTTCTGAACGTGAGTGCACTTCCAGGTGGCTGTAGTGGTAACCTCGAGGTGGTCTACCATACTAGCAATGGTCGATAAAATCCAACCATAGTGAAACTTAATGAGACTATGTGTGTGTACTACGGACGTTGCAGAGTTGTTGCGGGGACCTAACTCTGCTCTGTTTGGTGATTTTTCGGTCGCGCCATGTGATCACTACCTTTATTCGGGAAAAAATTACGCACGAATAACTGAGCCGTGCAGAGAAGCTTGTCCTAAGCGTCTGTTACTGAGGGTGCGGTGTGACAAATTGGTCATCGGGTTTCCTTCGTCCCCTAGTGCGACCTTCCATTTTGCTTGCCAAATTGGGGAGACTTTCGATGTATTTTGCAACTTCACTAAGAATTCACAGCGTCGAAAGAGTGCTCCCCCGAACCTCACAGTGACCGGTATTTTCGAAAGCATTGCTTCTCTACGACGGGACTGGGTTCGGTGGGTTGTTCTGTGCTGAGTGAACTAAACATATGGGATGTTTACAATAATAGCTTGTGCAGTCAACCCTAAAACCTCGCTCACAAGCGCAGCGGATACACTGGACTTGACTATATCTGGCGGATAACTCATCGGTGGATGAACACAATGCACAGTTTTCGCTTGTAATACCATCTGAAGTAATAAAACTGAAAGGCGGGGTGAAGCAACGCACGCCAACTCTCTAACGATCTGGTCCTCAATAGTCATGGAAACAAATCTTCCTGATTGGTTGTCTTGTTTGACGGTTTTTATTCACGGTTAGCAAGTTGGAGGAGCTGAGAGCACACCAGTTTCTAGCGACCTAGATGGGATGACGATTATAACACAGATTTGACATGTTGCGTCAATTAACTTCAGTCGCGGATGTGCATGAGTGTTCAGCATCTGAAAATAAAAAGGCATAATATGGATGGAGGCTAACGATACAACAGCCTTCGTGTTGCCAGGTTTGTTGGCTTTTTGTTGGCACCTCGTATGTTTGTTTTAGGCCAACCCAAAGTCCCCTTTCTTGGCCCGTTTTTCTCCTTTCCATTATATGGCTTTAGTCAAATAAATTGACGTAGTTGTGCGTCAGTGTTCTCAGCTGATATTGTCACTGCAGAACACACGCAGTGTTTATTCTTGTCGCCAAGACAGTCCTTGTTGAAGGAACATTTCGTGATCCGTGAAGGATGTTTCTTCGACATCAGGGGTACTGTATCAGGCGTAACACGAGTCTCAAGACATTGTTGCATATAGATGGCAAGCAGTCACCAGTGTAAACCACGGGCTGGCGTGACGCAACAGTGTCGTTTCTGTTCGATTATCTGTTGCTATTATCGTTTATTTTTTGAAGAGCATTGTCGCGAACATAAAAAATAAATGGTGATGAATGTGGAATGGCTACAGGTGAATATTAGATAAAAAGACAGAAGCGTCACATTCACCAACAGTTCTAACAAGATGAA